AATTTTCAGCGGTTGAGTGCATAATGTGCGCGACGGACACATGTCATGACATACATATTCGAGCCCGATTACATATTTCAAGTTATGCTGTATATTTTCTACAGAATCCATTAGTTTTGAAATTTAAGTTTTTTTTTTAGAATTTTTCAAATACATTTTTTTTTTTGAAATTTGAAATTTTTTATATCCTCTTTCGAATTGTGGAAACAACAGTCGTTTTCGAATATTTTTTTTTTTATTTAAAAAGTTTGTTTTGAAAAATGCCCTTTTTCCAAACGTGAAAACAGCAGTCGACCAAACTGTGCCGGCTGAGATAAGCCAGAACGCCATAAGAGAAAAAAACGCAACGGCGTGAATCGCTAAAGTCAAAATGGCGATGGGAGACGAACCGCGCAAAAATGTAGAACGTTGACATTTTGAATTTCTGTGTGTGTGTGCGTGCCTAGTCTACTGGTGAACAAATCGCAAATGCATACATACATATTTGCCGTTAACCGTAGAATTGTTTCGCTCGTCTCGGGCTTGCGGCTGCTGTGCCACACTGCCACTACATGTATGTTTTTGTTATTTTTCTTTCTCTTTTCACATTTCTCTCGCTTGTTGCTTCTTTTCTACCACATTTATTGTTGTTGGTATTGTTTTGCATCAGTGTTGCTGCCGTTGGTTGTCTTTGGTTTGGCCTCGTGCCAGCACAGGGTTGATTCGTGCAGAAAACGAATTTTTCAAAACTTTTTTCTTTCGTTTTACAACAATAATTAAAACGGTAAATAAGTCAAAAGTAAAAAATGGTATGAAGCAACAGAAAACATGAAATAAATATTGAAAAAGTAAATAAATTCGCAAATCTGGCCGACACATATATATAGCATATGTACTTACATAAAACATTACTATACATACATATGTATATTACATGTACAAGGCGTGTCACGAAGTAAACAGGTCGCCGACGAAACTGCTTTTAATTAATTTCATTGGATAAAAAGGTTAAGCTGGATTAATTCGCAGGTCTATAATTTTTGAAGAACATTAAGGATACTGAAGTGATCTCTAACGGTTGTATGTGTTGTTGGCATGAGTAAAGTCGTTGCTTGGATCTGTTCTCTCTAGAGTCTGTTGTAAGAAAACCAATAAGAAACTCCGATGTGTTTCAAGCAAAACTTGCCTAAAACATGTCTATATGTAAGGGTGTATTAAAATAACAATCATTGGACTGATATTCATTTAAATCGCTTTGAGATCATAGAGACTAATAGGGCACCACGAGGGTTCACATGTATTGGGACGTATTTCCCCTTAAAATACTTACTTTTAACTTCATTTCAGGAATTATTTCTGCACCATACTTTCGATAGCTGGAATGACAGAAACCCGTAAAAATCTGTTATATACGTCTCAATGGAGAGACTAAAAGTTTTATTCTCAAACATCTGTCTTAGGATTGCAAGTATAATATGATATAAAATTTGTCAAAGGATTCCTGAGCCTTATGATTCATGTACCCTTAGATGAGCAATTAATTTATTTCTGTAGACTCGTGGTGCATATAATCAGAATGTTCAAAATCTATCATAACCTTAACCTATGTTCTGCTTGGGTAGATTTTTTAAGGTTTAATGAATACCAGCTGCACTTTGTATATCTCGCGATTCACATTAAGTTTTTTAAACGACCTACACGACCTAAGTGCGATTTCGTTGATTCACAGCCATGATGCTTTGAAATCGGTAAATTCCAGTGATGCCTAGGATTTTGTGTTTACCTCGGGTCCTTTTTATTTAAAATTACCGACTCTTCGCCAAGACGATGGTGTAGGTCTTAAATATTCGAATAAGATAAAAGACTCAGGGCTTGACCTTCTTGTTTGAGGTATCATTCTGAACACATCGTTGTTGTTTTGATAAAGTCATATGTATCTATCATCGCGAACCGATCTTTAATTCCATTTAACTACTACTGTTACTGGCTTAGCGTTCGAATATTTGACAATTATAGGAAACTTAATACTCATTCTTTAAAGTCTAGATAAATCTGCTTCCATGCAAAGTTGCGTGGGTTTCAGAGAGAGGATATTTGTTGATGAATGTCAGATCTCTATATAAGCCGACTCCTTGGTATTAACCGCTTATTAACAAACTCACCAAGAAGCGCACTCTCAAGATATAAGGTTGATCCATTTCTCTTTTTGTTTTGATAGGCTGACGTAAAATCAAACTAAGACGTAACGGACTTCAGAGGTGTTGTATTCAATAGTTCATTAATACTTTGGCAACTAGTGATCGCTTTTACTTCAAAATTCATCTTTGAGAACTCATTTTATTGTAGTATAAGTATAACAAATGGCACAGCGTTTCCTATTCAAATTCACGAAATACCTATTATAAATATAGATCTATTTTTTTCTTTACCTTTATTTCCGTTCCACTCTTGATTTCACAATCGAGCTTAACGCATTTTTCCTGAAGAGGATAGTGAAGATAGTAACTTTTATTTGATCTAAGCCCGCCTGAGTTCAGTGGATTGAGCTGTTTTGTTGTTTCGTGATCTCAGAACACGAAAACTTCTTAAAGGAAACGGTTTTTAATAACGATTTGCTCTTGAGATCGGAAGTCTAAAGGTGATCAGAGACAATACATTCAATCAAGGCAGTAGCTGGCGGGGGCACTGAGTTTTTCCGCGACTCGAATGCTCGCCATTTGCATTTTATTTCCTTGCCTGACAAAGTCTCATTTTTCGGGACGGCAAACGTCAAAACTGTCAGATAATGTATGCGTTCAATTATGAGGAACAGTAGATGAAGGGAAAACTGAAAAGAACAATGCGAAAATGTGTATGTATGTAATTCATTAAGGTAAATACGGTCCATGGCATAGCTGTGTCGAGGGCATAACAAAGACCAGTATGCACAACAACAAGCTCGTAAACTTGATGAGAAATCGTGCATGTACGCGCTTTAATGGGCTAACACATACTTACAAATTTTTTTACCATATATATGTATTAGTTTATACATGTATATAAATATTTACATATATCAACATACATACATACTATATACTATATACCTTGGAAAATTAATGCTGCTTTGAGTGGCCGACTTCACGTAGGCGTCCACTGACAGCCAAATTTGTTGTATGTTGTACGGGGGCGAAGAGACACGGCACCTAGGCACCAACAAAACAAACAAAAAAGTCAGAAACAACAATAAAAATAAAAAATAAAAAACGTTTGCGAAGCGGTCTTAACCAAAGACCCATAGAAGATGACAAGAAATTAAGTGAAATTTATTGACGACAACTGTCGGCCATAATCATCTAGCTGGTGTTATTGGTGGTGCCTTAGTTGTTGTGGCTGTGACACACACACAAGCACAAAAGTAGCGGAAATGTTGCCAAAGCGTGTGGAAGAAGAGTGAAAAAAGTCAAAACAAACTGAAACTTTTACTTTTGTACTACAACCGGGACGTACAGGGCGGACAAGGGGGCGCGCCGACACCCTCACTTCGTAGCTGGAAAACAAACTACAGTTGCAGACAAGGTATATACGCATATGTATGTGTGTATGTATGCTTTCATATGCACCTACAATTAAGTGCTACCAACAATCTCGGTGCCTCGCAGATCTTTGTCGGTGTGGGAGGTTGCTACTGGATATCAAAACCATGGCAACTCCGGGCACATAGCACACTAGCCATACAATCCAGCTCTGCACCACGCAACGCACTCGCTACATATTCATATAAAAAAATTCCTCCACCTCCCGCGCAGCTTTAATCTGTATAGTCGCTGCGTCGCTGTCATGAGTAACTCGGTGGTTCTTTTGGCCGTCTGGGGTCCATCACACTCTCAGTCAGTCGATGTCAGTGTGTGCGTGAAGCATGTAATTTGCCGTCCAACAAAAGTGTCAGTATGTGGCAAGAATTATGACGGGGGACGATGCTCAAGATGAGTCCACAACACGGTATGTGCGTGTGTGTGCCGATTCGTTGGCGTGGGTGTTGTCTTGGATGCCATGCCAGTAGGTGGTGTGCTGGCGCGGCATTACATATAAATGCAATGAGGCGTAAAGTTGCCAGCAGTGGGTGAATGCATTCCTTCGGCTCATGTAGCGGTGGCTCACGCAGTAGGTGTGCGGAATGCATGTGTAGTAATGTTTTGCTCGGACTTTTTTTTACTCAAATACCTGAGAAAGAGGTTCTGTTAGCACCGGACGATATTGAGATCGCTTAGCAGTGATATCGAAGCTTATGTTTAAGGGTTCTTTTCCTTCAAAGCCGCCTCTCAAAAATTCCAATTTTCAGCAAAGAAACTTCAGTGTGAAATCAAAGCCTTTGAAAGCTTATAAGGAACCTGAAGTGGGTAATTCTATATGCAAAGATTAGATTCGATTTTGAGGTTCTTCAACTTGTCCAATTTCATTATTAAAAATAATAAGCGTGAAGGAGATCATATACTTGTATATATATCTAAATTTTTCTTTCGGTATACGTAGAACACTATTATATTCCCGTGAGCTCGATCCCCCAACGAAGAGAACTCGTACAAGTATAACACATTTCTCGAACAAGAGTTGAATGTTTCGGAGTCCTCTTCCGTTTTCTTAGCTAAGCTTCAAAATATTTCACTACTTAAACAACAACATGGACTTCAAGAAGCTTAAGCATAGGTATCAACTGAGAGGGTTAAAAAAGTATGCGGTTGAAACTTTTTTTTTCAAATTAATCCAGTAAAAATGATAAGATAAATGAGTAATAGTTTATAGGTATCAAATTTAAAAAGTCTCAAAGAGGAGTAAAGTTCTAGAATGACTTCTTTTTGAAATATTTTTGAGAAGGGTTGCCACATGCTTGCACATTTAATTTTTAATATATTGATGAAACAAATTCTATACACCACACTATCTCTGGTATTGAACCTAAATTATAATCAAAAATATTATATAATTTTTAATATTTTATTATTTTAAGTATCATGTTGAATATAATTTTTTTGTACTTTCAGTTTTTTCGCACGACACAAGCACCTGATGTGGAAGACACGTCGCCGGCGTCGCGTACATTGATTGCCATATACAGAGTTGCTTTTACAGACAACGTTTTAGTCATTCGCTAGTTCACCACAATTGAGAGCAAAAACTCTCAAACGGGATTATTTAAATTGTTGCCATAAATTTAGGGTTCAAAAGCCACAAAAGCAACACTGACGATAGTGAAGATAATAAAAAAAAGATAATAATTTTGTAACCTCCTGTGGCTGTACATAGATATTAAAAGGAAATTAAAATAAATAAAGGAATACTACGACTTACTATTTTTAAGCAGATAAAGTGTGGTGAGTTTGAAAAATGTTCGGATTTTACTCATTACTTTTAAGATCATAATTACTGAAATTATTTATTTAAAAAATCATAAAAAAATTTCGAAAAAAATGTATTTTTGCTATGAATTTAAGAAAAGTATTTTACCATAAGAAAAATTTATAATTATTTCTACCATATTTATTATTCTTTTTATGAATTGTTATATGCATATATATATGTTTTTTAAAAATATTTTTGTTGTTTTTGAGTGAGTTCGCTTTACAAAATTTATAGCATGTTCCTATAAAAATTATTCTTAATGTTTGTATAGATTTGCTTCGATTATGCACTTGTGTGTATATTTTTTAATTAACGTCCGCCCATTTCCTGTCTGTCCTCTGCTTGATTAGTTGTTTTTGTAGATGGACCGCACCATTGTCACGAAATTTCCCTTCTACAAAGTATATATGTATGTATGTATGTACATATGTAGTATAGAAATGTGCCACAATTGAAGTTGACTTTCTGTATATACAGTGGGCAAAAACTACTTAACCGGATTTATATACTTGTAAAATTGTATTCTCTTATCTTGAAATCAAAAGCCTCGATCTTTTTTGCATCGTCATCCTTTCAAACTTACTGTAAGGTGATACATATAAACATTGTGGGTTCCTTAACAAAATCGCAAGGTCTGTTGCAAGATACTTAGCCCAAAAATACATCTTTAGGGCCCAAAAAGAGAAAACGTTCGGAATTGTCAGCGTCCACTAAACAATAGACGTGTTATCTAGGGCTTCTCCCAATAGTTTGTTCCAAATCGATACAAACCAACTCGGAGTTTTAACAACAAATTCTGTGATTACTTCTAAACTATAGTGACCCATAGTGTGCTGGTAAGAGCTTTCGAAAGAGTTGAAGAGTTTCAAACTTGGCTACGTAGCTCTATAGCATTAAAATTTGTTTTAGAAGAATGTCTCAACAAAGAGCTCCTTTTTTGATTCGCAGTAGCATAGTTAGGAGATCGGATACTGCAGATCACGGCAAACCCTTAAACTTTATAAGTCAGACTCCTACCAACTGCGGGCTTCTCACAACTATCTCCCGCAGAAATTAGTAATTGTTTGTTGACCTTCGATACTTACTTGTTTAAACTGGGAAATTGACAAGTCCATATTAGTTTTGAGTTTGTCCGAAAGAAATGTTGGATTTTAGAAGTGAACGAACATAGGTATGTATTTCTCATAATAATTTACATTTCTTCAATGGAATTTCCATTTCAGCCCATTGTACTTCGTAGCTAACCTCGATCGGTACCCGTACATACCGCACTCGGGCGGTGGCATTTCAACAACCCATCGACAGTAGTGCCGTTAAGTATGTTCGATGTGTGCATGAAAAATGTTCGCTGGTTGCGTGGCCAACTGGCAACTGCCTCCATCCGCCAGACACGAGATTTAAGCGATGCAAGTACCCAAGAATCTTTGCATCTACACAGAATTAATATGTGCATGTGTCTTCTCCCGGCAAGTATTCGCATTCAATCGAGGAACTCAAGTGCCAGCAGCGCCTTGCTTCGGCTGCCAAAGTGCCGTTAAGCCACTGAATGGCTGATCAGAAGATCCTACAATTTGCCAGCGCACCCCCCTGCACCCCTTGCACTAATGGTCAAGTACTCGCATATACAAATGTTTGTGTGCGTGTGAGTACTCCCTTGGGTTACCGGCTGCCTGCGCTCGTTCGGTCGTTCGCTGCAATTAAGCATAAATACCGAAATCGGCGACACTCGAGTGACAGGTGCTGCCAAACTGCGTTAAATCAACAGACGACGCGGCGAATAACAACTGCAACAATAGTCACATTACAGAACAACAACAACAGCAGCGACATGCAAACAACTTACACATGTCATTTTAGCGTCGCTGTGTTGTTGCTTTTCTTACTGTTGCACGTTGGCTGCACTCACGTATGGGTCGCAGTCGCTGGGTGTTGTTTTTGTTACTGCAGACAGCTGTACGGGGCATGCTGTCGCCAACATACTTACGCGTGATTTCTTCCTTACTTTGTTGTTGTTTTTCTTATTTTCGTTAGTTGTATTTCGTTTTCGCATTTCTTTCTTAACTTTGTACGCGCCTTTGATCTGAAAAAAAGTCTCCAAAGCAACAAATGCATTTCGCAATGGGATATGTGGAGTCTCGAGGGTGAACTCATAAGCAAGGCGTTATAAAGACTGGATGCATTGGCTGAAGACGGCAGAGTATGCTGATTTCAAATAACTCGGACGCAGAAGACGAAATGCAATTGGGCGGAGAACTTGGGTAATTTCCGGAAATCACAAAATAAAGATATCGAACGAGGTTCTAAGATCGAATCTGTAAAAATTCCAAAAAAATAAAATAATTTATGAATTTGACCTAGACTAGACGTGACTTTGACTAGATATAAGGACTGAAGACTTACGGGTTCTAATTTCAAGCTATACACATAGCTACTTCTGCCCATGCTAAGTCTGATTTCCTGAGTAATCGGCCTAACTGGGCATGCTGTTCTTCCTAATAGATGCTCAAGTCCAAATGGGAAATTTCATTGAATTGTCATTTTGTTGTGAATTCAGCACTATTTAAACAACTCATCATCGTTCGGGTATGCTCTGCATTCCGCCATTCCGACATTTTGTCAAATGAGAAAACCTTACAGCCAAAACGTTCCTCGCTATCTTAATAGGGTTTGCGTGCAAGTGGGATAAATTTTACGTCCTAATTGCCAATCTCTGTAAGTGCAAGAGAAGTGTATTAAGTCTAAAGTATTGATTTTGGTATATATTGTTTTGAATATATATCATTTTGACTCAACTTACACTTCTCTTTGTGAGCTGACTCTTGCTGTTATATAAGGAATGTGTAAAGCTTGAACACCATATAAGCGTTTCATAGTCTTTCAGAGTACCTATATTCAAAGTAAGGGAATGCCAAGCAACTGGAAAGTTTGCTATTGAGTTTCAGCGTAGGACTTTATTTCAAACTCTATGCTGTGATTAGGTTAATAAGAAGTTGCATTGAAAGGCTTGTGATTCCCTGAACTTGTGCAATCAATTTTCCATACATATCCTATTAAATTTGATATAATATAATATACGTTCTCTTGAACTAGTTTTGAACGCTTGCTCTTCCAAAAAGGATTCTTCAATGCACTTTCATACAGAGTCCTTCGCGAGTCTACAGTTTTTCTTTTTTGGCTTTTACATAAAAGAAACTACGTTGTGCTCATAATTCAGTTGAACTTATGCCCGATCGGCTTAGAATTTATACTTATTAAACCATCAATCAACCACCCACATTCAGCCACTCATTCAGGGTTGATTCGAATAAAACGATGAAATTACATTCCCCTGAGTGGGTAATGTCGACTGATTAAGGTGCGTGTACAAAATGAATACAGCGAAACAGGAGAAGCATCAATTTGAAAATCGCTATTTAATGTAGCATCTTGCTGCAGATGTATTGGCTCCTCTTTCTCATACTCATAAATTTTTTCATCAAATTAAAATACCAGTAATTGCCACATTTCGGCGTCGCAAAAACTCAAAAACAAATTGCGCACGCTGTAAAATCAGCTCTTCTTCTCTACACTCCTCACAATTCTTTGTCTTCTTTTGCCAAAATATTAAATTACAAAATTAATCAAAACAAAAGAAAAAAATTGTGTAAAATCGATGAGCAAAGCGCGCAATGACGCAAGCGGCTGCTGCCAGTGCGTCGAAGGCGGAAACTTCACAGTTTGGGGTAATTGGGTAAATAGTTGGAGGGGTAAACGACACGGAATGGGCAAACCAATTGGGTAGGTCGTAAGCTTCTAGCGCTTACTTGTACATAATTACCAAAAATGGGAGTTTAATTAAAATTAAAATGATATTCGACCAAACAACAACAATTACTATTAATTACTTAAATTCGCGGTAACACCGAACGGATTATGAGTAAGTGAGTTCATTAAAGAGTATTTGGTTGGGTTCTTAAAAACAAACAGTAGGTTGAGTAAATGACAATTTTTAAGCTTTTGGAACAACTTTGCGGCTGAGAAATTTCCCGCGTAGATCAAGTATCTCCTGATTTATCCTAAAAACACCAAGGAAAGCGAATTCGTGGTAAGGGGTAGGAATTTTTATTATATTTTCCACTCTTTTTGGTTATTGGAACAAGCCTTATTCTATTAAAACGTGTTGCTCAAATGTCGTGGATTTTAGATACACTGCCTGATTGAATTCTATACTTGTCAAACAATAAATTTTTTGATAATTCCCTGATCATAAGATTAATCGAAGTCGATGATATAACGAAACATTGTAACGCCTATCCAAAGCTTTTGACTCCATTTCATAAAATTCGGGAGCTGAAAAGGAGAAAATTAAAATAAGTTCGGCTTCAAGTAAATTAAAAAAAATCAAGTTGGTAATAGTACATTTTAGTAAAAAAAAATATTATTTTACTGTTGGCAACCCTATTTATGAAAATATTATACGTATATGTACCAAAATTAATTGATGCTATAATAAATCTCCAAAGATGATAGACCTACATTTTATGTTTCCAAACATATTTTGTTTTTTTTAGTTGGCAACTCTGTTTCTATATAGTTATATATAACCATTTTTAGCAGTATGAAATCCTATTTAAAATTGCAAAATCGCATTTCTGCGAAAGATAAATAATATAAGATCAAAAAATTTAGTTAGCAACACTATTTAAAATAACAGTATTAGTTGAATCAAAAGTATTACAAACTTCGCCGGAGATAAGTTTTGGCTACTAGCGAAACTTTATACTATGCATTGCAGGCTCAAGAAGTACCTCTTTAAGACCTATGTACATTCAATATTGAAATGATCAGCTTCATGAGCTGAGCCGATTTAGCCATGTCTGTCTGTATATACCCGAACTGGTCCTTTAGTTCTTGAGATATCGATTAGAAATATTGTACACGTCCTTTTCTCCCCAAGAAGCTGTTCGGAGCCGCAGATATCGGACCTTTATAG